TGCTGATTTCAGAGTATGTTATGCAGCATATACAAGTTTTCATCATAAAACACCAACGCTTTCAAGATGCACTTCCCTACAGCATATTATTTTAAAAGTTCATGGAAAGAGGGAAAGCAGAAATAATAGCAGAGTGCACACAGCAGAGTATATTATCTTCCATGAGAAACACATTTCTCTGTTGTGTTTTGTTTTTTAAATTTGCCTTTCACCACTTAAAAATGCAAAAACTATTATCCTCATTATTGTACAGAAGCATGGAAGTGATGGTTGAGAAGATACTGTCATTATATACACTGCTATTTCCTCTAGCTCATAACTTTATGGATAGATTAGTCTCTAGGGTAAAATATTTTATGCTTGTCCTCAGCCCAAAGGGAAGTTAGTCTGGAAGCACGATACAATTCTACCAGGTCAGGTCACTCACAGCTTTGTGATACAGAGCCGGAAGATCTGTACACCCGGAGAACGAGGTTTCTGACACCCCCAATCTTTGTCCCCAAATTGTACCCGCATACAAAGGTTGCCATCTCTCCAAATGCTGCAGACTCTGTGAAATACACCATATTACCACTTCATGAATTGCCTTCCACTTCATCTATTTTTTTATCAAGTCCAAATAATCCCGAATGCCTAGAAGCTTTTCAGTTCACAACACAACAAAGTACTGGATCAAATATAACCATTTACCAGCAGCTGGTAGCATCTCGTTTCCCCATCTATACTGAAGGGTTAATTAGCTCAGTTTTTGGATGTCTTCAGACCAGAAACTTCTTTTTATTCCTTCCCTCTAAGCATCCATCAGAGAGGAGAAAGAAGCAGCTCTCGAGCTTCAAAAAAAACTTGCATGACATGCTGCTGGTATCAGGATTGCCAGGGCTGCAGACTTCGCTTGTCTGCCTCAGTGGGACAGTTAGTCCTTCAAATCTCTCTTACATGTTGAGGAATACAGTCTAACACCTCCCTGCCCTCATCACTCTGAAAATCCTCTCCACCCATGATCAATTCACAGCTGAATGTGGTCTTTGCTCCTTCATAAATCACTGATCTATCACTATGTGCAACTGAGCCCTGCTTTAGTACGCAATGATACCCATCTGAGTGCACATTAGACCACGAGATCCATTCACTTCCACTATGTTTCGTGGATGTGGTACCAGAGGATGGAAGTCCCTGACTGCTGAAACAAGAGATGGAAATGGGCTCAATTTGCAGACACTTAGAAATTAGAACTGGATTACATTTGCTTTTCTGTAATCAGTAATGGAGACCAGCTTTTACAGGGAAAAAAACAACTGACAGGAAAAAAAAAAAGAAAAAGAAAAAAAAGAAGTCCACTCTTTAGAAGAGAAACACTAGCACTAATGGTATTTGTAAAGATGCTTTTGAACAGTCTATGATCTTTGCTTACGCTACGACAACAGCATTTCATGGTGATAGTCACATAAATATAAAAAGATTTAGCTGGCATAGACCAATGAAACGCTGATTGTCTCATCACTGCTCAGGCTTCTTCACTGATTTTTGTGGGAATCTCACTTTTCAGTCTGTTACAGAAGTGCAGCTTAGAGTCATACATTTGTCTAACGTTTGGGCATGGTCACACAGAACAGCATTCTCCAATATATACAGCATTTCACAGACCGTTCAGAAATCAAATGAAGTGCAGAGAGAGACGTGAGAGCAGGTGTATGAGAGTAAAACCCTACTTACCTACTTAACTTACCTTTTCTTCAGTTCAGTAATAGTAATGCATTTCAATATGGGATCCCAAAAGACAGCTGAAAAGCTGAAATGAAACAACTCATATTTTTATAATCTGCGAGTATTCCAAACAATGTCTATGAAAGCCACTGCAAGACCTGTCAATGCAGTTACATAGCACAGGGTGCAAACGTGAATGAACAAAATCTTGCAAGCACGGGCATGCCTGGTTCACAGACCTATCTAACTCACAAAATGCTGAAATTTAATCCTGCTCTAGAAGTTTCTATGCAAAGAAACATCAAGAAATTGCCATCTAGCTTGTTTTCTGGCTTCCATTAAAAAGATAATCTGTGCACAACAGAGGAAGCGTCTATACTGCACAAGTGCATTGTTGGGCATGAACAACACAAACGGTTCATGAGTGAGAACGACCTGGCTGGTTCCCAGAGCCCACATCCCTAACGGAGTTTGAAGGGCTCTCAGGGAAAATGAAAAGATTAATAAAACTTTAAATAAATAAATATACAAACACACTGACAGACAATTCTGTAACATTTCTATACTTGCTTCCAAACTGTAACTATTCAAGGAATAAAAGTTATCACAGCATAGAAAATACCATCTCACAATTGTAGCACGGGCAACTTTATGGTGACTCTGAGAACGATCTATTTCAACTCCTCACTTTGTGCATATGAAAACGTTAGGAATGCCCAAAGCGTAGTTTGCTGCATTCCAGTCAAATTGTTGTTCTCACTTCAATTTAATCACCTTCACAGGCACACTTACTGAGTGCTTCTATTCATAAATTGCATTTTAATAACCCACCTAATTGCCTCCTTTCCCCCAAGCAGATAAGCTTTTAAAAAGACAGCATCTTTGGTATCTTCTGCTACTTGCAAAATTCAGCTGAGTTCTGTAGATGTTTCTATCTATCACTTGCTGCAAAAGGTGGCTGAAAAAAGAGAAAAATTGAATAAGGCCTGAGGAGTCTCAGTAAGTGTAATTGCAACCGAAGCAAGGCACAAAGCTCTATCAACTTCACTTTAGCCACTTCTTGAAGTGTGACAAAATTTGCCTATAAAATAAATATTTGATTAAAAATATTCATTACAATTGAGAAAGACTATCAAAGGCTGGATTAAAAAGTGAAAGCTAAGCAAATCCTTTAAGAAATTCTGTAGGATTCATTTCTATACCGTGTCTACACATTTCTATAGTGTCTCTCTGCATTTCTATACAGTCTGTCTACAACAGATCTTAGTTGATTGTTGCATTAGAAATAGCTGGCGGGAGGGGGGGGGAGGTGTTCTCATTTTAAGAAGTCACCATTACATCAGATTTTGGATACAAAGTCATTGCTTATGAAGGATGCTATCCAAAAAAACGACCCCAAACCCCACCACACTCTGAAGAGATCCAGAGATCCAGCACTAGGAACGCTGCTCAGACCCGTTCAACTCCTCCCTCTCCGCTGTCAGCAGAGCTTTCACCTTTCACAGTACCTTGTGCTGCTGTTGGCAGGGGATACCTCTGCATCACTTACAGAAAAACTTCTCATCAGCAAACTGGGAAGAAATTTCTAGTATTATTTATCACAGAGTATCAGTTTACAGAAATATAAGGACAGTGGTGTAGGACTGCTTTTGTTTTAAATACAGATTAAACCCATTCCTGGTGCTTAGCACATGCTACTGAAAACTATTCCTGCTGTTTACCAAAAAGCAACAAAGTTCTCAGTACCAGAACTTTCTAGGCAGGTAGAGGCCTAGCAGGCAAGTGTTTGCCTCCTGATAGTGGATCATACTGTACTTCTCCTCTCCAAGACTAGAAGATGTATGGAGAAAAAAAATAAAGTTTTAATACTCAAGGGATGTACTACACTACTCTTTTGATTGTTCTCTGGCATCAGCCTTTAGAAATATCTGGAAGCCTCGCTGCCTTCCCTGCAGCCCTCCCAGTCAGTGCATACACACGGCTCTCTGACAAGTTCACTACCCCTAACCCGAGGCTACGATGCCACAATCAATCTGAACGAGAAGAAAAAAGGACAACAAAAATGTTTAAGCACTCAGATTTGTATGTTCTGTACAATATGAAAATGCTTAATACCATATTCTAAGAAAAAATATATTGGCTCTGATTTTATGTGTGATTACAAATAATTCCTAATAACTTTGATACATATCTAGCATTTACACCATGTACGCATTGTGCAAACTTTATTATGATTAAGCTAAAGAACAGGTTCCAAAAGCATACCGCAAAAGCTTCTCCTTGCTGACAAGACTTGTGTCTATACATGCACAAATTTGCTTTTCTATTCACCAATATCAGTATATTATACAGCCAAAACCCTTTTAGCATACATTCATGAGTAAATGTCCAAGAAGAACAAATCAATATGCCAAAACAGAATTTACAAAACCTAGGGAATAAAGCTCATTTTCCAAAGGCTCAGAAACTACAGAATACAATAGTACAATTTATAACATTTTTCATCCTAATGCCAGAGTCTATTTTCTTCTGTGCAAAAATTCAGTGCATTGAAAATCCTGAAAGCGTCCAACTCCAAATTGTATGGAGTGAAAATATACAAGCTATGAAGGGTTCCTAAGGGACATGGTGAAGTTGTAGTTTCACTTTTTTGAAGTAGATTCAGTGAGGTTATCATATATTTTTGTTTCACTTTTACCAACTCATAGAATCCTAGACTCAAAACTGCTTAGGGTGAAAGGACTGATCTAAGGGTTGTATTTAACAGGGAAGAAAAAAGAATAAGGAAAAAAAATCCATACATTCTAGAGTATTTTTATTTTTGTGAAAAAGCTTTCAATACGTCATGCCAAAGTCTGCAAAGTGGCTTAAGTTTTTATTGATAAAATGACATCTTAAATAATGTCCTGCACAATGTCTAGTTCTTTAGTGAGAGGTTGACTATTTCTAAGATTTACTTTGAAGTATGGGGGAAAGAATTTGCCCATTTACAATTCACAATCAACCTCAGAAATTCTGTTACTGTGTTCAGGTCCCTCCTCTTTTTTAAGTTTACCCAGGAAGAAAAATTGCTCAGAAAAGCAAACAAAAAAACCCCAAACCAAAGCACATCTAACATTAAAACCATTTGTTAGACTATTTTCAGAAAAGGAGACAGAAGAGATGACTTCAAAAGACCCTTTAGAAGCGAGAGCTCAACACTGTTTTTCAATACAACCATAATACACATACAGAGCACTCAGATGACCCTGAGGAATCCACAGTGGAGCCAATGCAATCATCTTGTTTGCTCAAATTCAGAAGATGTGTTTCATGTGCTTGATTCCATATGTTTTGAAGAAAACCATGATGATCAATGCCCAGAGTCCTAAAATAAATCCTCCGGGAGGATGCCAGTCCTTTTGTTTTGGTTTCTGAAAAAAAACAAACAAAACCAAACCAAACAAAAAGAGAAAACCAAACTTAGTTTTCACATTGAACAGGATTGCATCTATCAAGTGAAAAAAAAAAATAATCCTTGAAGTAGAGAAAACTACCAATAAGCTGTATTTCTTTATAAAGTAGAAGTATCTTTCTCCTTGATGTGGTAGAAAGGCTGATGGGAGGTGAGTTGCCACTCAAGCAGGAAGGTTAAGTACCACAAAAAGGCCACTAGAACTGTGCCCGAGACACCACTTTGACAGTGCACGTCAGCATTGTGGGACACATTCAAACTCATTTGTTTGGACAGAAGTTCTCATATCTGATCTCATGTTAATACAAGAGAAAAAAGCTACGAGTATGAAAAACGGTTCCTACAAGTGAAAATGTAAAAAAGACAGTGTTGTTTTTCCAGTACCTAGAATGTTTTCTACAGCTCCTTTTGTACGCAGAATTATGTGAATAAACAGATATCTAACCACATAAGGAGCTAACATTCATTATTACAGGAATATCATAAACCAAAATAGGATTGTTTTTAATGTCAATCACATTTCCCAGGGGCCTCATTGAGTCTAACTGCCTTTCCTTAATGTAGAAATACATTCTGCAATTCAAATACTTGTCCCTTCAACAATTTTTTCCATCTTCAGTGAAAAAGCAATACACTGCAATTTGTAAAGGCCTCTTCTATCTCACGCTTAGCAGTAAGACAAGATAAAACTTGTCTGTCCTCTTCCTCCTCATATTTAAAAAAAATTCAGATACTCCATATTCAATGAGAAATGGATTGTAGAAGATAAGAGCTGCTATGTGCCCCAAGATCTGTCTCTCTGAGGCTAAGAATAAGGTGAAGCTATATGAATGCAAAATTTTAGTTAAGAATATCATAACAAAAATATCAGAATTACAGTATTTAAAAGTATAACTCAGTCTGTCATGCCTGTGCCTACTCTTGCCCTCAGCAGGTATGTTTTACAGATCTTCTAGGCAGACCAAGATGATTTACTATTACAATAATAAATACTGAAGTGCTTGTTGAGCTTTTTATTCCTGCCTCACTGGAAGATCTGCACTGTTTTGTCCTTGTATAGGACGAGACACGAGGGGCACAGACAGTATTTTGGGTTTTTGCATTTAAGGCAAATTTAAAATTCTCATTCTGCCACGTGAATAACTATTACAAAAGATGGTACTGTTTCAATTTCTGCGTGAATCTGCATACAGAAGCTTGTCGTTCTCCACTAAATGTACCAGGTGGCTGCTGAACTTTAATGCAATAAGGAACAGTTTGGAGCGTCTGTTCTTTCAAAACAGCTTTCCTATCAACAAGAAAACAATGTTTGTTGATTGCTCAGCTCTCATTTTCTAAGCTACGTAGTTGTAGCTTTAGGATTTTTCTCTAAGTACCATGTTTGTAATTAAAAAGTATAACAAATAGCCATGTCACCTGATACACCTGAAGAACTTGGCATTCTGAAATATTAATGATTTTACTCCAATACCGGAATCACAGCACCGGCATTATAATTTACATCAACAACAACAAAACCAAAGACAGGAGCTGAGATGGTGTCTATATATGCAAACCACTCAATTTCCTAAGAAGCGCTCATCAGCTGCAGCGTACGTGCTGTTGGTAATCTGCCACCTCGCTGATACTCACAACCACACATCTCTACATAAACATCTCAGAAAATCAACTCTGCATGTTCAAAAAGGCTGCCAGCACACCTCGCTTCTCAAAGTAACAGCACACGACACTTCCCCACACAAAGGAACTTTCTTGTTTAGATCCTCCTAATTAACCCGTAACTTCGTATGCATATTGCAGTGCCCGTTTCATCAATCTCTTTGTACTATCAATCTTTTCTTTCTTGGATCTCAGACAAATTCCTTACCACAAAGTGGCACCTGACCCTTCTAGACAAATGACTTCAATTTGCAGTCAGTGACACTAAAAGCCTCTCTCTCCTATTTTGTACAGAACACGTAATTTAATTTCTTTAAAGAATTTATATGAATAAATATTTATAAGGTGATCTATGAGTATGGTTTTACATTTTGTCATGCCGTGTACTGACGCCTCCACGGAATTCCGCAGGCAAACGGAGGCCAGTGCAGCAATGGCTCCGCGCTGGGAAATCAAGGACATACGTATAGGCAGTTTAACGCCATGGCATGCAATGTTCAAATGTGAAGGATTAAAAACATAAAGGTACAACAAAAAATACATATGAGGCTATACAAGAGCTACATACTTTGTAATCTTAAAAATAAATTACCTTAATGAGAGAGATTCACAGACCCAGAAACTGAAATCCACAAATACATATTAAAGCTCAATAACAGGGCGAAGAGATGCAATTCTATTGTACATCTGTAAGTCAATAGTGAGGTTAATTGAGCACAAAATTATATTGAAATATGCCAGTATTTTCCACTAGGGGCATACAGACATCAAAACCTTATGAATACCTAAACCAGGATTACACAGATTCATGTTGAAATCTACAATGTATATCTGTAAGAGCTGAAATACTAATTTTCTTTATATTAACTTGATCATAGATTCCCAAGAAAGTTTGCATCACTGAATTAAAAATCTAATTAACTATCAAATTGACAAGTTCATCCTTCCAAAATCATAACAAATATAACATAGAAAACTTCAATAACCAATCTTTGTCCAGCTGGGCACGCCAGGTAAGCAGCAAACGGCACTGATGTTCCTTTACAAAGAGCTGCATTTTGCACCTGCGAATCAAACCCATCTACACGTCAGATGGAGTCGCTGCTTCCATGAATTATGCCAGCGAACTGTACTTGTAACACAGGCGGGCAGAGAGCTTTCAGCCCGCACCGTTGTAACGGCAGACCTAACAATTCCTTCCCCTTGGCACGGCTGCGTCACTACCACAAGCACTGCCGGCGCACCTATGTCAGCGAGGAAGCGCGGCACCCCTCGGAGCTGTCGCAGCTACGCCAGCAGCCTTGCGTAATGAAGTCAGAGGCCAAGGCGGGATGCCCTTCTACAAACACACGTGAACCTCAACTGTACTGCTGCAGAAGCTGCTTTGACTACTTTGTGCAACCAGTCAGGGAAGAGTCAGAGAGATCTCTCCTAAGGGGGAAAACTATTAAAGAAAGAAAGAATCACTTTAATAGAGAATAAAAAAGTTTCCCTTTTAGATCCACGTACTGGAAAAAGGTTTAGAAAAGAGAGAATTTCTTTCTGTGCTTATACCAGTTCTGCAGCCATAAGCAATCCCTAGATAAACTGTCCCTTTATATCAATTTTAGGACTGATCAGAAAGTATTACTGAATACAAACTTTTTCCCAGACTCCTAAAAAAAACCCCCACCACTATTTATCCTATGAACAGGGTCTTATTCCAACAAATTTCTGCGAAATTCAGGCAATTTTTGAAAGTCAGGCATTTTCTCACTTATGAGAAAATGCTAAACAGACAAAAAATGTTAAGTGTTGCAGCATTTTAATTTGCAATTAATTATGTACCTTCATTATGCCTAAATTGATGTGAGAACGCATACTATTAAAAGACTACAGATTGGTTGCAGTACTTACAAATTATGTATAACTTTCTCATATATGGGACTGATCTGGAGGAGCAGAGGCAGCAGCTCTTTTGGCTGAAGTTATTCTGAATTTCATTGCTGTATTACCCACCAAAGAACTTCCCGTACCAAGTACTGCTTATGTAACCGACGTATTTCGGTTTTGTGATCTCCGCCACAATACAACCCCATTATAAACGCCCTCTTTAGCCCTACAATAATAGCAGTAACACATAGGTGAAATGCACATATGAAATGGTACAATGTGTCATGAACAAATACATTTAGCAGCTTAAGGGCTAGTCATTATCGAATTGCTGGAGATTCCAAATTAAAAAGACAGGTAGCTAAGCAACAGCAAGCTTCCTCCTGTGAACAGTTTTCTGTTGTACGCTCTCTAGTTCTGGTAGACTCTCATTATCCAGTGGAACTTAAAAACAGTTAACGGAGAGTTGCTCCAAGTACTGTAATTAAGGAGAGGATAAAACAGTGTATTTTCAAACCGGATGGGTCTGTAGAGACCCAAATGGAAAGTATCCAAGACTTCCAATGAAGGTGTTTCATAAAACACGCGATACTTGTTACTCCAATTGAAATTAGTTTTATGCAAAAAAATAATAAAAAAGTATTAAAGTTGAAGTGGTAGATTAAGAATTGTTTAATTTTAAAATGTTACATCAGAACAGAAATAAGATTTAAAATATCATGTATTAACATTTCTTGTGGAAAACACTGTGTTTAATATCATTATAATCCAACCCTACAGTCCTCTTCCAACAGAACACCCTTTGCATTAGTGTCCTCAATAAGGACAAAAATATCAGTACAGAAAGTTTTAGGTTCAACTTGGAATCCACACTGGGACGGTAGCAGTGGAGAAAGCAGTGCACACAGTGTAATAGTCAGGAATGTAGTAATTCCCAAATGGAAAAGGGATACGCAAATTCTTCCGTTTCCTCCAGCAACTTATTCCTAACAGTGCTTTAAGAAAGTGAGCAAAACCTTAAAAATGAATGTGCACATCATCCGTGCCACGGGGGACGTTCTCCCCAACCTGAGGCAGATGGTGTGTGTTTGTACCAGGAGTGCGTAACAGCCATATGTAACTGCATAAAAATAAAACATTAGAAGTGCTGTGTTCCAACGAGTCCATTAAAGTGGCTGCTACCATAGTTCAAATTAATCCCTCTGGAGTTTCAGTGCAGCTTCCCCTAGACCCACTTCTGGCCTATTTATTGCACCACACGTGGTACAAAACACCACCCAGGATCCCGCGGCTTCCTGGCACACAGCAGCAGCTACGGCACCGGGGGGAACCCCACGCACACCCCTATGGGGAGTTCTCCACCTCTACCGGCCTCGAGGGTCAGGAAGCGCCCGCAGGGAAGCGAAGCACGCTTGCTGCCTGTCTGTG